GGTATTCAGCTCTCAAATATGTTGTAAGATTTTCTTCCCTTTTTCTCCAATAAGTGCTGCTTGGGGGAGGTGTATGATGTGCCAATTAATATGTATACTTTTTCAACTGTTGTGACTTTTTTCCCCCTCGGAGCTTGGAGGCAAAAATGTCAGGTTCTCTGCTGCCGTCACTTTCCATAATTTCCCTGTTTATCCCAATGGGTGCTGTGGACCATGGTCTCATGGCAGGTGCACGTCAGTGGACCACATGGCAGCCTCTGGGTCAGCCCTGGCCCCAGGCCCTCCAGGAAATGAGGCACGTATCGTTCTCAGGACACAACCAGCCCACGTTCAGACAAAAACCCTTGCTCCTTTCCAAACTGCTGACTGCCAGACATCAGAGAATTTCACTGAAAAATTATGAGTGGAGCGGACTGGTGAATATTACTGAGCTTCACATTAGGAACTTGGGCCATCATTCATTAATTTATTTCGTGAGTGTAAATGGAGCCCTTTCTTTGTGCCAGAAACTGCTCTAGGTGAAGGGGATATAAAAGTTGAAAAAAAAACCACCGTAAAAATGACAAGAAAATAAGCAAGTAAAGAAATGATCAAGACTCTTTTGATGGAGCTAGACAAAAACCTGAAATTAGGTGATGTGGGGAGAGGCTGAATGGCTGCTTCCAAGAAAATGGGTTGGGTTGGGAATGTCCAATCTGAGACAGCTGTATGAAGGTTGAGGCTTGAACGTCAGCAGAGAACCAGACACACAAAGATAAGGAAGTGGAGAATTCAAGCACAGGGCATAGCAAGTCTGGAGGGCTTAAGACGGAAGATGCCTAAGATGTTCCAGGACACAGAGGAGAGGTGGCGTGTTCGGAAGGAGTGAGAGAGAGAGCACGTAAATTATAAGGAAGCTCATGGAGGGCTTCATAAAGCCCAGGGGAGAACTTTGGATTTTGTTGTCAGGATAATCAAAATGAAGAAAAGATACAGTCTGAATCATTGCTTACACTTATTGTTAGCTAAGGGATGGGAAATGGACCACTGGGCGGAAGAATGAAAGCAAGAAGATGCATGAAGCTACTGCAATACGCAGGCCAGGTGAATCTGGGAAGTAAATCAAGGAGTTGCTGGTCAGTTAAATCTAGGAGTCTGCAACCAAGTAGAGCCACGAAGGATGCAGCTGGATATAAAAATCTGTGGTCTAGAACGGAGTCCAAAGAGGTAGGTCTGGAGTCATTGCCATATAAATCTATTTCAAGCCATGGGTCAAAACAATGGCTCCTAAAGTGAATGAGTAGACAAAGAAGGTCCCCATCCTCCACTCTGGCAGCAGCAGGGGATGTAAAGATGCAAAAAGCCATCCCTGAGATGAGAAGGGACACGGCGTTTTCCACCAGACTCTCAGCCTATGAGAGACAGGTCTCTGCCCTAGAGAACTCGCAGCGTCAGGCAATATGGGGAATTAGTGGACTGACAAGCCTAAAATACAGTCCATAGTAATAGAAGTTGGCCAGGAGAAGCCCAGAATTTGAACTCTGTAGCAAATACGCAGTTCTGAACCTTCCCTGCCCCCTCTCTTTATGATTTAATACTTGGCAAGAGAAAGGTCACTTGACAATATTTATTAGCTCATTAACTGTAAGTGTTTCTGCTGCCATGGGAGGCTTTTTTTTTTTTTAAATAACAAGTCTATTCTTTTCTAAGCTACGCTGCAGGTGTCTCTCCATCATGTAAGTGAAATGGTGAGCACCAGTCCTCTCCTGGCATCCACGATCCGTAACAAAATATTACTTTCTTTCCAGCTGGTTAAAAGGAACATGATCGGCCTGAATCTGGCTTGGCGGACTTACATGAGGCCAGCTAGGCAAATATCAGCTTTGCCTTGACCTGGGACGTCTCTCAAAGATGGTGAGCGAGGGCTATCGTGTTCCTGCTGTTCAGACCCCCGTTCCCAAGAAAAGAGAAAGGAAACAAAATTAACATGCACTGAGTGCCAGATACTATATTAGGCCCTTTATAGACACAATTTAATGTAATTCTTTCAGAAGCTTTATTAAATAGGAAAGGCATTTTTGTCACTAATGAGATGAGGAAATCGAGCCTCCAAAAAGTTAATTTTGCTCAGTCACACCGCTGTTAGGTGATTAAGCTGGGATTTAAAGCTAAGTCCGTGCTTTTTCAAACACATAATATTCTATGTCCAAAAAACCGTATAATATCCTCAAACACTGTACACCTTCTCATTTGCTTTCCAGTAAAGTCTGAGCTTGCTTATAGCTGATTCCAAGGCAGCAGTAGAATAAAATGTCTTTGGGCTCCTGATGAAAAAAATAATTATCTTCTTAGAATTAAGGGCATTGTTTCTTTAAATAAACCAAAATGTATTTATCTAATTGTTTTGTAATGCAAATATGACCACAGTGTAGTTCTTATTTGTTTTATTTTAGTAGGGGAAGGGAGATTTGTAATCCCACCAGCTCTAATGGGTAGGGGCATGCTGCCTGTTGACCATAAAACCACCCAAAAATCCATGAGTCCGTTCATTTCCAGCATTTGCACAGACTCTTCTTTGCCCTGCACCCTTGGCTTGACTAACTCCTAAGAATTCTCTAAAATGCAAGTACCAGCTTTTCTGAGAAAGTTATCTTCCCTCTCATGGTACCAAATACAACTTTCATTGTTTTAAATGACAGACCCTGAGATTTTCCTTTAATTGGCTTGTTGGTCCAACTGCTAGTGTATTTATTCTTTGAGAGCAGGGATTTTATCTCATTCATCTCTGTGTTCTCGGTGCTTAATGGCTGCTATTTTAGGGGGTTCTTGAGTTAGTTGTTGAATGAGTGAATGAATCATTAGTTAATATGATATATTAATATTTCACACCAAATCTAATGTTGGCTGCCATTGATAGATATGA